CCCCCCCCATTGCGCACCCGCCCTCCTTTCCCCTTGGTTATCTCGGCAGATCCACAAGGTAGACACGGTCGTCTCCTACAAGAACAAGACCGACGAGGAGCTGTGCTGACGGTTTCGCTTCTAGGGTACGAATGACTGGTGATATTTGTCTGTTTTTTATCGTCAAAATGCAATCAGCAGTTGAGGGGGGAAACAGATCAAAGCACGGGTGCGTTTTTGTGTCCAACATACGCTGTGGTGGTACAAAGCGAACCTTAGATTGGTTTGTTTGGGATGTTAAGTCTCAATCACCCAGGGATTGGCGACTTGTAGACTTTGCTGTCGTGAAATGGTTCGAAATTCTGTACGGGTGGGTGAAAATGGGTAGGGCGATTTCGAATAATAATTTCGTGAAGTTTTTTCATTTTCAGGTATCGTGAAGGGAGAAGGAGGGAGTTGGGTATGTTTCTTCCGGTGGTCAATATTGTAGCCCGGTGCATGATTCGAAATGTGTTTCTATTTTTCGTTATCCGTTGTCGTCGCTTGTGTTGAGAGAGTCAAGTCGATCCACCACCTAGCGAATCCTGTTTTCCGTTTGTTTTTCCACGTTTGTTTCAGGTTTAGGGTTAGGGTTGAGGGAGTCAAGTCGGCCCACAATCCGCAGGGGATATGTAATTTGTTCTGCGATTGTACCGTAGGGTGAAGACTATTATGGATGTACCCTTTTGCGACATAGACCTTCTGTAGTTTGCCTGGCAAATGTCAAATTGTTTCTTGCTATGCATTAGATGTGTCACGGGTTTTGGACAGGGAACTAAGTAAGTGGCTTTGTGTAGTCATTATTTCGGCAAACGTATTGAACCGAGCTAAACCAGGATAGACCTCCTCCGCGGTACCTAGTGGTGATTTTGCGACAACGTGATGGTGTCAGCTTTACGTCAGGACGCTTGATTGGTCAACAACCGGATTCTATTGTCTTTCAAGTATTGCTGTGTAGTTCAAAGCGGCTCACTCTGCGTGAATGATTGCGTTGTGTCAGATACCACGTTCAAAAAATCGCTTGGTTGTTGTTGTTTTTCTTCACATTTAACTCGTGTCAGTTGCTAATCCCAAAATCTAGCAAATAGACTCGGTCCGTGGTCACAAAATTGCTAGTGCCATCAGAAGATCTAAAGAACATGCACACTATTGGCAAGAAAAAGGTTACACAAGCCCGAAGAGGTACACCTACAATCCCTGCAGCACGTTTGCGTGCTCAAAACTGAACTACACGCCCACACACTACATTCGGCTACAGCAGCAGCATCACCCCGTCCTTGTCCCGCACTTTGCCAAAATGAATTTTGGTCGATTCAGCGTACTACTGTCTGTACAAAAACGCCATGGTAAGCACTGTACACAAGCTCGGGGCATGCAGCTGCTGTCTGAAGTGCTGTCATAATGCGTCCGTGGACATGCAGTGAATAACCAACCACCCGAATCTATCCAGTTCATCTGTGTTAGTCTAGAAACAGCAACACTTACTGGGTCTTCCACGATGTAGGTACACAATTAAGGCACTCGGGGTATCCGCGTCATCTCTGCCGCGTCTCTCTACAAAACCAGTGACGTCATCACACACCCAACACCTATATTCAGGAAAAAAACGAAAAATAATTTACAACACTTGGCAACACAAGATGTCTGTCCGTGCGCCACGGTTCGATGTCGTCCGCATGCTACGGTGCCGCTGCTCCGGTACCGCTGTTGCCATTCCTAGCACGACCAATCTCGACCCGCTCGGTTCGCACACGCTCTCGTTGCTGTCATTCCCAGTCTGTTCCTCGCTTTCTCCCTCATTGCACTTAGGGTTCTTGGCCTGAACATTCTCGCGCCGAAGGGTTAACCAGCCCAATCATCAGCTCGTCACCACCTGTCCCCTCCTCCGTTGATCGCAAAACCAGGTTACTGAGACAGTACAGCTCCCTCAGGCAAACCTTGGGCCGTGTCCATAGTGCTCGTCCACCATTCTGATGAGGTTTGCCTCCGCGCAGTTGTCGTGTTCAATAGAGTCGGCCAAGGAATAATAGTGGTTACCCTAACGAGAGGAAAATTGCCTGCCGTTGATCGGATGTTTCGGATCAGACTATAGGCGGAGTTTTCACTGACGGATTTTCCAAGCTACGAAAAGATATCAAAAACTGACTTCAAGATTTTCATCTTTGCCAAGAACTCAACCATACAGCTGCCGCGTCTATTTTTTGGATGCCATTGTTTGAAACGAGCACCCGCCGCTCTTGTCGGTGAGCTCCGTGTCGTCTAGCCAGTATACCATATCCTTGGAACGCCGTGAAACTATGTCCGCGACGACTAGACTACATACTTCCCCCGCAAGGTTTTGCTTAGGCATGACCCATAGCGAGGGGGGGGGTCTTTCTAGCGAGCAGGGCTAGACTCACCCTCAAGGGACCGAAACCTTATTGCTGCGGCGCACCCGCCGCGAGGCGTGCGTAGTGGTCGAGTTGGGTCGGCACTGGTGCGTCACGTACAAAGGTGGAGATGCCCCGGCCTCCAGGCCGTCGGTGTAGGCAGCAATGCCCATCTCATCTTTGTGCGCGGAGGCAGACGCCATCAGCAAGGTGGACGGGCATTAGTTTTANGTGCGTAGTGGTCGAGTTGGGTCGGCACTGGTGCGTCACGTACAAAGGTGGAGATGCCCCGGCCTCCAGGCCGTCGGTGTAGGCAGCAATGCCCATCTCATCTTTGTGCGCGGAGGCAGACGCCATCAGCAAGGTGGACGGGCATTAGTTTTATGTACACGGCCCTAGGTTTGCTAGAGAGAGCTGTACTGTCTCAGTAACCTGGTTTTGCCGTCAAAGGAGGAGGGGACAGGTGGTGACGAGCTGATTGGGCTGGTTGACCCTTTGGCGCGAGAATTTTCAGACCAAGAACCCTAAGTGCAACGAGGGAGAAAGCGAGGAGCGGACTGCGTGGGGAGGACAGCAACGAGAGCGTGTACGAAGCGGAGCGGGTCGAGTTTGGTCGTTGTAGGACTGGCCACAGCGGCACCGGAGCAGCGGCACCGGAGCATGCGGGCGGCACCGAACCGTGGCGCACGGACAACTATCTCTTGTGTTGTCAGTATTTCCCGTTTTTTTTCCTGAATATTGACTAGGTGTTGCTGTGTTTGTTTGGTTGTTTTTCTCCCATCATTGGAGTTTGTCGTCTGCCCCTCTGGCCCCTATCCTCCACTTCTACCAGCTAGACGACCCAACCGGGGTCACATGGGAGGGGGGTGTTGGACCCCCTCCTGCGGTTCCTGCCTGTTTTTATCGCGAGAAGGGTACAGCAATCCCTTCCCTCGCGACTTACGAAGTGTGTGATGACGTCACTGGTTTTGTAGAGAGACGCGGCAGAGATGGCGCGGATAACCCGGGTGCCTTAATTGTACACCTGCATCGTGGAAGACCCCTTTAATGTGGAACGATTCCTAGTCAGTATCGATATTTACACTGCTGTGGCTACTGTACCACAGATGATCTGGATAGATTCGGGTGATTGTCAATTGCAATGATTGCTTGGTTGGATCTTCTTCATTGTATGTCCATGGACTCAATCTGACAGCACTTCAGACAGCAGTTGCATGCGCCGAGCTTGTCTACCATGCACCATGGTGTTATTATTGTACAGACAGCACTTCAGACAGTAGTACGCTGTAGTCGACAAACATTATTTTGGTTGAGTGCGGGACAAGGGGGGTGATGCTGCTGCTGTAGTCGAATTGTGGTGTGTGGGCGTGTATTAGCTAACTTGTGAGCACGCGAACGTGCTGCAGGAATTAATTATAGGTGTACCTCCTCGGGCTTGTGTACCCTTCCTCATCTTGCTTATAGTGTGCGTGTTCTTTAGATCTTTTGATGGCTCTAGCATTTTTGTGACCACGGACCGAGTCTTTGCTAGATTTAAAACAACAACATAAGACTACACCCAATTCGGCGTAGCGTAGACAAGGGGGGCTTCCCGTAAATGCTTCAGCAACAAGCATCACTGCTATGGGTCATTTATCTGTGCTCTTGTGGTGTCTACCCAACCAAGTTTATTCGTCCCCCCATCGAGGAAGTACTTGGTAGCGGTACACACTCACGCTTGGCGCAGCAGTGGCGGCGAGGACGGGGTTAAAAAACGGGACGTGGAGGGAGGTCCTGCCGCATGGCCTTCCGAACCGCAACTTTTGTGGCGTGGCGAACCAACACCACCGACATCCGACATCCGACATCCGACATCATCCCTAGAGTCTGGCGTCTGGTGTCTGGCTGACATCTGACGACGCAACTGGGACAACGGCAAATATAGAAGTTTGCAACACACTGGAGGCTGGAGGCTGGAGGCTGGGACGTCGTTCATGACAACCGCGTGGGGAAAAGGAACGCATGAACGAATCAGAGGATGGCGGCTGCCTTCCAGTGCGTGTAGTGCGCATATTCGACCATCCGTGTAGACTGCTGTATGAAGTATTTGTAGTCTAGACTATAGCAGTAGATCGTCTACTCTACACCAGTGCAGTAGTAGCATCGTTGCTCGCGTAAACCAGGATTGTTTTCTGCAGAAAGTGTAGGTCGAATCTACCCGAGAAATATCGTTGCTCGTGTAAACCAGGATCGTTCTGACAGTTCCGAGCTTGGCTCCAGTAAGGATTTGGTCGGTCCTTGTCTGCCGAACACTGGTCGGTTCAAGTGCGTCATCACGAACTAAGATCCAGCCGTGGGTTCTCACTGCTGTTGTTTCTCCTGTCCAGTTCACTCTCGATCTCAACACCTTCAATTCAGCTCTCTCTCCTAGATAGCTTGATTTCGAACGGATTTAGGAATAACGATGGTACTCATCGTGAGCGGAGTTGTGTGGACCGGCAGCATGGTGACCAAATTTGCAATCACGAAGGTCTTGGAATGGAAGGCCTTCGACCGGTGCATTCGACCGGGCGAGAACAGGTGAGACACCCCTTCGATGCAGTACTGCTGTACATCAACGCAGGCTCAATCAAGTAGTGGCACAAACAGTTTTGAAAAATGAACCATTTATTGTAGCTATCCCTGCACGGGGCGCAAGGGTCGATGTTAGCGAGAGAACATCTCACAACAAGCGCATTCCGCCAACCTCTCTACACTACCCACCACGATGCTGATTCTCTTACCACTAGCAACCCACTCACCATACAAGCCATATGCTGCAAGTGCCACATGATATGCGGACCTTCTGCAGGGAATACGAGACCGGTGGTGACGAAGAAGCAGGCGATGGTGGCCAAAATGTGCCCGAGCTTGAGTAGGTATGCTACATAGAGTTGATCGTTGCTAAAGGGCATCACTTGCGGGGATTCCAAATTCGTTCGTGACTCGTAGATGGTCTAGTTTGCTGTTCTCCCGGCTGGCCTACTGCTATTAATTACAGTATTATTAGCATATTCCAAGTCCGCACCCGTCTGGTTTACGCACCCCCCGCAACAGGCAGTCCACAACGACGTGGAGGAGGAGCAGCAGCCACTGGTTGGCGCAACGGATAGGACTCTCGGCATACTGACACGAATCCTCTCCCGGGTCTTGAACACCGGCGGCACGATGCCTCGAACCCTGCACATGATTCGCCGCTTGTTGTGCTCCAGGCGCCGGCGCCAGGGTGAGAATCGAACGAAGAATGTTGAGGTCACAAAGAAACCAAGAATCGTGACAATAAACTGGCAAAGGCATGTAGTTTTGTGAAGCGCTGTCTGTCTATCACCGTGGGTATTGTTGCATACGCACATGCATAGTATTTTTCTCCTCAACCACCCGAAGTTCTGTGGTCACTGACAATATTCTTACATGAAAAGGCTATGTAGAGAGGTCAGATGTCAGAATTTGACCTCTAAACTTCGGGAGAACCCAGGGTCAAACGGTCTGTAATATGATGAGCATCACCCCTGCCCTACCTATCCATACGCACCGTGACATAACTTCAACCGTGCACGTATTGTACCAGGTGAGGGCCGGGAGCCGACACTGCAGTCTGAGTCCTTTGCCGGGTACAACTCGCTGGATCCATGGGACAGCGGTGGCGAGGGTGGCGAGGTCACTGACTATTTGTTTGCTTTTTATGACTATTATGTTTGAGATGTTGTTTCTAGCGACTACGAAACAAGCTGGGCGCATAATGTCCATAAGGTAGTACTGTAGTCGCATGGAAAAATTAAATCAAAAACAAAAACATTTGTGTGGGTTGAATTTAGAGCATACTTCCAACTCTAAATGGGGTTGACTTGTTGGTGGTGGTTGTAGGTGTTGATTTGCGAGGAGGGGTTTCTTCGTAGAAGGTTGTAGGGGGGGGGGGGGGGGGGGGGGTC